TTAAAAAAAAGGTGACATGGTTAAAAGATTTAGAAAGAACTAGCTTTTTTGGCAGATCTGATGTGGCAACTTTTTACTTCTCTATGCAGTGACATTAAGTTCATTTTACGAATTATCATTTAGCTTTATATTTCGAAGTTGGTATAGTATTAACAAAATAAGAAATGTTTTATAACGATTATTTTTTTTTTCAAATGATAATTTTTACGTTTTGAAATGACAGGTCTTTAAATGACGATTCTTCTTTTAAACACAATGATAAATCAGGTAAGAAATACACGAATACAAGAAATACTTCTCATGATAGTCTGAATACTCATTGATCACGTAGTGAGCCAGATGACTTCAAAACACACCGAAGAAGATAACCCGGAAGTTTAGGGAGTCAAGAGCTTGCAGCGCTCCCTAATGTAGAAAACACAATTCATAAATAGTGTACATAAGAAGAGAAAACTTTTTTCCCCCTCCTCCTGCAATGGTGGGGAGGAGAGGTTTTAACAACCTCTTCTGCAGAGCTCTTAAATATTTTTTCCTTTATGCACTCAGACCACACCAAACCTGGTTTACATTATGTCTATAGAAGCTAGTCTTCTCCCCCTATATATATTCCATGACTATGGCATCTATGCTGATTCATTATAGTTATTTTGTTGACATGAAACTGGTACAAATTAAATAACTTTAATTCACTTATATTTACAAAAAAAAAATATTAAAATAAATGAATGAAAATTAAAAATAAATAAATAATTGAGTGTTAGAATTATGAATTTTTCATTCAAAAGCCATAAAACATAATCCTTCAACTTTGGAATGCTTATTTTTGAGCAGAATATGGAGTTTTAAAAATAGTCCCAAGAAACTGATGCATTCAGATATCACTTGAATGAAAACTTCATTCGTTTCAATAGAAAATTTTAAAGAAGAAAACAATGAAAGTATAAAAATGACAACCAAAGCCAAAGGTTTTGTAAAAAGTCCAGGAAAAGAGAAGAGGAGTGCATAATACAAAAACAAATACGAAAGTAAATTACATAAACTAATTACAAAAGGAAAGCAATGATGAAAAAACCTACTTAAAAATAGTCCTATTTCATACGAAAGCACTACTTTCTGAAAATCTTTAACCAAACTGAAATTTGAAAACAAACTTTGCCCACATTTCATGCGCTGAAAGAAAAAAAAGGAAAAGCAGTTGACATCTGTTAGTTGAAAAGCATAACTGGGGCAACTCGGTTAAGTCTCAATCTAGCCCAATTAAAAGAATACAAAATCTAATCATTTCTTTAATTTTACCTTCAACATTGTCAAAAGAAAAATCATTACTTTCTAGATTATTTAAAAAAAAATACTTGTAGCCTCTTGAAAGCATTCTACATTATTGCAAATTTTATTAATTCTAGACAATTGAGAAATTTTTGAAAATATTACTACCCAAATTTGAGGAATACTGGTATAAAGAAGTCGCATTTCAATGAAGTTCAAAACATCAATATTACTATTACTATACAAATTGGAAATAACAGTTGTCCCGCAGTGGACTGATCGTTAAGACACAGCTCCCAGCAGATCACCGAAGTCAAGCATCACTGGCTGCGGTCAGTGTGCGGGTGGGTGACCACTTGGATCAGTCTGCGTAGGGATCGAGGGTGTGCGGTATGGGTCCTCGTTAAACTGTGCTACCGTAAAGTGCTCGACTTCGCGCGCAGGTAGTCGGGCTACCGAAGCGGAGGTGCCATCCCCTCTGCAGAGGATCAAAATTGTGATGGCATGTCTTCGGATCATCCTCAGGGATGTTTCCCAGACCGTCGCCAATAGCCCATTGTGCAGCTCTAGTGCGACGTAAATGAACTACAACAATAACAGTTGACATATTTCAAGCACTCAAAAATCTCATTTTTAAGCCTTGTCAGACGTGAATGAGAGAAAAGGGATTTGATATATAAAACGTAAAGTTGCCAACGAAGAAAGGAAAATAAAGGTGAGAAATTAAAAAAACCCCACCGTAGCGGAGAGAGAGAATAAAAAGATGACAAATAAACTATGACCGAGAGCTGCAATTTTACATTTCACATCACTTTTGTTTCTTCTCATTCACGTCTGGCAAGTCTTGGAAATGGGTACGTTATTTTGAGTGCTTGAAATATGTCAACTACTGTTTTCAATTTGAAGCGAATGAAGTTTTTAAACAATTGATATCCTACGGCAGGGGTGGCGAACCTTTATACACCAACGTGCCATTTTCTCTAAAAAATTGCTTAATGAGGTCATAGACGTGCCGTCAAATAGATAATTTTGACTTCGTGATTACTGGGAAAATAATAATACTAAATACTATCTAATCAAAACTCTTTATTTACATTGAAAAAAAATAATAAATTTTGCAATATCTCAGTTATACGCGTAATTCAACTTTCAAGTAACATTAGTGTGACTTTTGTTGTTGCATATTAGATGGCAAATAACTTATATTAGGTTGTAAGATGTTAGTTTAAGCAGGACTGTTAAATTTTTTTTGCTAGTTATTTATTGTTAGCTTGTTTTCTATGGTTATTAATCGTTTTTTTAGATTTAATTTTTTTATTAATATTGTTAATTATTTTGTTTATTTTTTGTGAATTTTAATTTAATTGTTACATATGCTTCATAGTGTAACAACAATTGTGATCGGTGGAGTGCCCAAAATATTGTGTCGCGTGCCATAAATGGCACGCGTGCCATTGGTTCGCCATCCCTGTCCTACGGCTTCATTTTCACATTAAAAATGAATGAATTCATTAAGAGCTCCATAGTATGCTCGAAAGCAAGCACTCCAATGATCAATTGTTATGTTTTCTTATGTCAAATTTATAATCCTAAACCTCAATTATTTATTTCCAATTTGTATATTTTTCAAGCGAATTAAAATTTTAATCAAATGCTGTTCAAATATTACGCAAGCATTTTTTTGGCGTTTTTTAATCCCCCCCCCAGTAAGCAAACTGTTAACAAAAATACCCCTATGCTTACGCAAGAAAGTTCCAAGTAGGACTGGGCGATATTAGAAATTATATATCGTGATATATCGTCAGTTTTGCATCGCGATATAGCGATGTATCGCTTAAATTTTCAAAAAAGATTCATTTACTTTAAGGCACAGAAAGTCAGATTTCTATCAAGACTTCATACGCATATTGATTTAAATCAATTTATAAATTTGAAAATATATATGTTTTGCTAAAGAAAGATATTAAATAAATTGACTAAGATGTACAAATCTTACTTAAAATATTTATTGAAAAAATGTGTGTAGATACAGAATGAAATATTTGCACTTCTTTATCGTTTATAAGGTATAAGCAGTCTTAATTTAAGTTAACCCCTAAAACACCCTTAATGAA